CCCTCTTCTCCTCCTCCCATCCTCCGTTCCCTCCTCCACTCCGCCTCTTTGTGAACAGATCCTCCTCATCGGACCGCCAGCCGTGTCGGCAGGGCGGGCCAGGCGTTTCTCTTGAGACCTCCTCACCACTGGTGGCCCTGAAACTTGAAATGTCAGACAACTACCGGCATGCAGGCCGAGTCGTTTTCAAAATGTGGTTTTGGCCTTGGCGCCGTGCACATTCATTCTCGAAGTTTCCATTAACTACGAGGATTGTAGGCAGGTGTTTCTCAATATGTGGATCTCGCTTTAGCGCTGCGACTTTCAAGAATCAAGCGAATAGAGGGCGGTTCGTTTTCAAACATCTGCTCTGGCCATGGCGCCGAGCGCGCTCGTCATAAGCACTTCCAACAGCCAAGTACAAGCACTAAGGGTAAATTGTTTTGTTTTCAATGTGGATCTGGCCTTGAAGCCGCGCAAATTCGCTTGAGGAGTTCCCATAAATTGCATGCGTGAAGTGAAGTCTTTTGGCAATGGAGATCCCGCTGAAGATTTGTTCAATCTAAAAATCCAGAATTCCAAGATTGTGCAGTAATTCAACAGATGTAGACGTCTTCTTGTTATACTGGAGCTCTCGTCTGAGACTTCTACGTTGTGGAAACACCAACATGTGCAACATGTAAGTTGGTGGGTGGGAATGGCTGTTTGCAACGAGTGATATATCTGGACAGCTTGAATGGTATACCCATGGGGCTCTCGTCATTCGAGGAGAGGCTTCCCGTTGTGAGAGCGAACGCCTGCGAGGACTGGTGACGAACGTAGGATGGCCGGGTGTATTGCAACATCGCTGATGCTCCCTGCCTGGGTTTACTCATGTGTTCCTCCGCCTCCTCCTCCTCCTCTTCCTCCTCTTCCTCCTCCTCCTCCTCCCTCCCCCCTGCTCCACCCTCCTTCCTGTCCCTCCGCCCCCCACACGCACACACACACACACACACACACACACACACAGACACACACACACACAGACACACACACACACACACACACACACACACACACGCGCAATCATCCCTCCTCTCCCTCCTCCTCCTTCTAAACCGCGCGACGCATGAAAAAACGATGCGCGCACTCAGCGAAGCAGCGCATCGCATCAGCCTCATCCTCGTCCTTGTCCTTTTCCTGCTCCTCCTCCTCCTTCTCCTCCTCCTCATCATCATCCTCCTCCTCATCTCCTCCTCCTCCTCCTCATCTCCTCCTCCTCATCTCCTCCTCCTCATCTCCTCCTCCTCATCTCCTCCTCCTCCTCATCTCCTCCTCCTCATCTCCTCCTCCTCCTCCTCCTCTTCCTCCTCCTCCTCCTACTCCTCCTCCTCCTCCTCTTCCACTTCCTTTTCCTCTTCCTCTCTCGCCTCTTCCTCCTCCGACAGACCAGCGGTGGGGGGGCGGCGGGGGGCGCATCAGCCGCCCCACTCCTCCCCCCCCTCCTCGGGAACCAGCGGGGGGCGGCGGGGGGCAGAGTCGATCCCGCACATCACGGTCTGATCGCCTTCGCAGACCACGTCGCAGACGTCGGAGTCGCCTGCCATGGCCTCTTGGCGGGGGGAGGAGGGGGCAGGGGCGGGGCAGGGCAGCAACGCCGGCGGGCAGGGCGGGCGGGCGGGAGGGCGTGGCGGCCAGGGCGAGGGAGGACTTCGGCGGGAGAGGGGGAGAAGAAGAGGGAGAAGGGGAGGATGAGACGCCAGCCCACCAATGTATTAGAGCTTGCGCAACGTCAACGGGAGAAGGAACAGCAGCAGCAGCAGGAGGAGGAAGGAGGAGGAGGAGGCGAGCGCGCGATGTCGGTCCAGCGGGACCGGCACTCAGAGGGCAGCGCGGGGGGCCAGAGCTATCAGAAGACGTGTTGGCGGCAGGAGTTGGAACCGGAGTCGGCGAAAGTCGTAACCGGAGATACGGGAGCCGGAATTGCAGAAAAGGAAGCCGGAGTCGGAGAGAAGAGTGGGAGGAACACGTAAAGCTGGGGTCGGGGAAGTATGCCAGACCCTATAGGTTGTAATGGGCACAGGCGCTATGTATAAAACCAGATTCCAGATCCCTCCATAACTGCTGATTCGCTGCAACTGATAACCACAGAGTCGACTAGATAACCGCAGACGCGAGGGGTGGCGATGCGCTGATCATCAGGAAACGCGAGTAGGATGGCGGCGCCTGCGCTGCACCGCTGGTCGATGAGGCTCATCTCGCGGAGACCCCACAGAACTGCAGTCCTCCGCGGTGCGTTGACGGAAGAACGAGTTCCGTCGGCAGCCGCTGCCGGTTTCGCGGCGGCGGCGGCCGTGCCAGGGAACGGCGGCAGCACTGAAACTTGGGGCGGTCCTGAAGTTGGCGTTGCAACGCTGAACATCTGAGGCGGTGGCAAAACAACTAGCGCGTCGGTGCACGAGCGGCCCTGGGCCGCGGCGAGAGAGGCTGCTGACCACGAGCCGTGGACAGATCCAGGAATCAGCCAGGAGCCGTCGGCGGAAGGCAGCGCCGGCGCGGCGTCGCCACTCGTTCCCGCAAATGCTACACGCCATGACAGTCCCGTCATAGCCTTGCGGATTGCGGCGTCTGCCTTTCCCTTTGCCTGGCGAACGCGTCCTTTACCCTGTCCTTCTCCACCGGAGAAACCTCACCTACTTGGGTATCTAAGGGATCCGTGAGGAATGCGCACTTCTGGGAGCCCTTGCCTGCCTTCTCTGGAGAAGGTGTTGTTGTTCTTCTTGATGAACCTGCGTACCTTGTGGGCAGCGGGGCGCATGCGCATGCACCACTGTCGTTTCGCATTCTTCATCTGCCAGAACAACTGGGCATCTATTCGGGCAGGGCTGAAACCTTGGAGCTCTGGTGCTTGGTAGTTGACCTCTCCGCCTGGGTCCGAGCCCGCGCCCGAAGAGGCCCCGCTGTCGCAATCGGCCCTTCCGCGGGCGCCAGCGTGGCGGCTGGGCGGGCTGCCTGCGATGACGAGGTGCTCTGCGACGGGCTGGTAACGCACGCCGCGGCACCTCCGGCGCCGGGAAGCTCGGCGGCGCCGGCAGCCCATGGGTCGAGACCAAGAGTGTGCCAGGGGCCACGCGCGCGAACCTCCGAAAGATGGCGGCGCACGACGAGCGCTGGCGATGTTGTTCGGCGCATGCTCCACAATGCGACCCACGCGCCTGAGTATAGTCGTGAGACTGTTGAACTCGGCCTCTGTGGCTGGGCATTGTTTGCCGTAGGGTTGGAACAGCGCCATGAGTTGGCTAGCTGCGACGCCGACCGTTCGGAGGTGCAGACAGCTGCCATCCCGAAACATCGCAGTTCCACCGCTGTGCGTAGCTCGGAATCGTAGCGCGACCAACCGAAAGAGCAGCGCGTCGGTGCTCTCGTTGCGTCGCCCCGAGGACTCGAAAAGTTCGCGGGTTGCCTGGAGGCGCGACTCCTCGCCGAGTGGGCCGAACTGCGTGGCGAAGTTCGCGATGAGTTAGGTCGCGCCGTCCTCTTGCTGGCAGTTGGCCATGCCTCCATCCGTCATATCCGCGAAGCTCACGGACTCGCGAGCGGCCCCACGGGCGCCCCACCGAGGTGGAGGACTGCGGCAGCGCATTGTTGAGCGCTGTTCATGTCGGTGGCTAGCACGCTCCAAGCGAGCAAGTCCTGTACCCAGTGGCGGAAGGGAAACATGGACTCGAGCTCGGGTGGCCATGAGAGCGGCTGGCTGAATTTGATGGAGGCGCGGCCGCCGCCGCCCTGTGGGCTGGCTCCACCAGGCATCATGCGGGTGAACCAGAAGAGGACGGCCACGAAGAACACGAGAATGCTGCCCCAGAGCGTCAGGATGGAGATCCTCCTCGAAGAGCTCACCACGGTGATGGCTGCATAGGCGCCTTGGGACTCGGGCCTGCGCAAGGACGAACACCATGTCGAAATGGGGGGCAGCCGTGATGATGCGGTTGTCAACCGTGGTCGAAGCCGAGGTCGGTGAAACTGCCACGTTAGCCTGCAGTGTTCCACTCGGGTGGTGCGATGTGCTCACAAGGACAGCCAGCACTATCGCACACGTACCGAAGCACTGCGCTAGCCCAGGAAGGGGCCTCGCATTCATGCCCGAGTCGAAGCTGCGGCCAGTGCCTGTGGGGGTGCGATGGGTCGAAGAAACTCATCGCGCTCCTGTGGGCGAGTCGTTCCTCATTGCAGTTACGCCTTTTGTTCCCTCCCACTCGGACCAGATGTCCGAGGCAAAATACTGGTTGGCTTGCAGAGCAACCATAAGCACAGGCTACTCAAGGAATGGAGGTGGTACCGATGCGAAGGTGGAGGTGAGTGCGAATGCGCGTCCACACCCCACTGGGATCGCGAGCTGGGATCGCTTCCAGCTCCGCTACCAGCTAGAATTGCGGGGGGTGCAAGCTGTAAGAGAGAAAGCATGGCGGCAATCAGATGTTGAATGCACAGTTTAACTCTCCGTACAGTATGCAGGCCTGCGTCGACGCTCGGGCCAAATAGCGGCGACACCCTCCTATTTGACTGAGGAGGAAGAGGAAGAGGAGGAGGAGGAGGAGGAGGAGAAGGACGACGACGACGAGGACCAGGCTTCGCTCCCCTACTGTTCGGGTGCGCGGGGCTCCTCCTCATCCTCCTCCTCCTGATCCTCCTCCTCATCCGCCTGTTCCTCCTCATCCCTCCTCCCTCCTCCCCCTCCCCCTGCCCCCCCCTCCTCTTCCTCTTGTTCCTCCTCCTCCCCCTCCCTCCTCCTCAACCGAGTCCTCAACCATCCTCCCCTCTGGGGGTACGGCGGCTTCATTAGCCCTGTATTCCACTGCATGCTCCATCACATCCCTGATCAGGGCAGTTCGCCTGGGCATCGTTTCTAGATGGGCTGGTGGGGACACGCGAAGTGTATGGAAATTTCGTGAAAAAACTGGGTTCCTGTCCCTCGTCTGCTGGGGAGCTGTTATGCTGGCCCGGGTCTCAAAATATCGTCCAAATCCTGGTGATGTTTCGGGGCATGGTGTAAGGCCTGTCCCAATCCTGCCCTTCAGACTACCCCTTCGCCTCTTCGGCAGAGCGTGATCGCAAAAATATTCAGAAGCACCCGTAACCGACTATGTCTGAGAAGTTGGCCGAAGTGGCTATGGACGCCCAAGCACTGCGAATCCCATTAGAAATTCCGAAGCTCGTGACGCTTGTCGCAATGCCGAAAACTCGCGGTGAACCACTCGGGGTTCCCAAGCCGACCCGCTCCTCCCCTTGGCGCAATAACCGAGAAGTAAAGGAAACGGAAAAGGAGACTGGCCCACCTTGTAGTAGGGCGCGCAGTAGCAGTCGTTCCCTGGGCGGCGCTCCCAATCGCTGCTCATGCCCGACAGCCTCCTCCCTCGAGGATGAGAAGGAGGCAAAGGAGAGGAAGAAGAAAAAGGAGGGGGAGGAGGGGCAGGGAGGACGCGGTTTTCACATGTGTGGGTTGTTAGGCGGCATTCAGGCATGTCTGGCGGCTAAGCGAGAAAAGAGATACTCGAACTCAGAATAGCACGGACCCTACTACTGACGCTGAGAAGAAGACAAGGAGGCAGGATGGTGGAGAAAGAGAGGGCGAGAGAAGAAGGAGGAGGCAGGAGGGAGACAGGAGACGACAAGAGGCATGAGAAGGGGAGCGACGAGGGATGAGAGAGGAGTGCAGACGGACATCTCCTCTTTCCCCTCGTTATCCTCCTCCTCCTCCTCCTCCTCCTCGTCATCATCATCATAATCATCAGCATCATCAACATCATCAACAGCATCATCATCATCTGCATCATCATCTTCAAAGTATCATCGTGATCATCAGCATCAGCATCAGCATCATCAGCATCCTCATCAGCATCAGCATCATCAGCAGCAACAGCATCGTCGTCATCAGCATCAGCATCATCAGCATCATCAACATTACCATCTGCTTCATCATCATCATTATCCTCCTACTGATCATACCTTTCTCCTCCTCATCATCATCATCATCATCGTCCTCCTCATCCTCCCTTACATCTTCCTCCTCCCTTCCTTCCCCAAGTGTTCCCCCAGGGAGTCCACAACGGCTGGGAATTCACATGGTCCATTAGCTTGACCAAGTCTTAGCCCAACGTCTGGCAACGTCGGCGTTTACAGAAAGGCAGGGGGCGTTTTGAGTCGTCATAGGCGCCCTCAATATACGCACAAGTAGCACGTGCATGCCCAGGCTCATACAACAAGCAATGAGGAGTCACCGATGAGTTGCCAAACCTTGCGATTAGACGGAACGGTGAGAACTACCCCTGCGGCATTGAAAAACATAAGGTTACAGCTCAGTTGGAGATCTAGATTGGGAACAAACGAAAACCAACGTAGTTTTGCCAGTTGTGTGCAACGTCATTGCTTCAGATTGCGCTTATGAAAGATTTATATCAATCGCTGAAAAAACTGCACGGGAAACCGATGAAATACAAGTGTAATATAACTGACATGTGAATCACCATTGAAACCTCTTGTATGCTCGAAAGTGGTATGTGAGAACGTCGGAAGCCCATTGTGCTGTTAATCCCTGACGACGCGAGTTGCCTGAGGACAGCGTCCGCTGTTCAAAATGTTGATGATGCCCCGAGTGAGGCGGCCAGGCAGTCCACGGACGGACGACACAACACTCGCCTCTGAGCCCTACTCTCTCGGAGAGGGGCGCATTGTAAAATCTGTAAGCACTCACCGATCCGGCGTGCGAGTTGACAAAACAAACTACAGCCGAGCTGAGCTTCAGCCCTGCTGGGGGGGGGCTCTGCCGGGAAGGAAGGGGGGGGGTCCATTTCTGGGGCCGCTCCCGCGCCGCAGGAGGAGGGGTGCGGGGGGCGGCTTGGCTGGGGAAGGGGGGAAGGGGGGAGGGGGTGCAACGCCGCCAATGCCGCCAAGACGGCCCAAGAGAACTCCAAGAGGACCCAAAGAGGGCCCCAAGAGGTAAAAATCAGTGGTTTCCCTTTTGCTCTTGCCTTTTCGAGCTTCCGACGCTCCAAGACGGCCCAAGAGGCCCCCAAGAGGCATCCAAGACGGCCCAAGAAGCCTCCAATAGGGCTCCACGACGGCCCAACAGGCCCCAAGACTGCCAAAAGAAGGGAGATGAACTGACAATTCGAGCCTTCCGCCAGAAGAGGCCCCCAGGAAGCCCCAAGAGGACGCAAGGGGCTCCCAAAAGGCCCCCACGAAGCCCCAAGAGGCCCCCAAACAACCCCCGAGAGGCTTCACAACTTCCTCCACGAGGCCCCCGAGAAGCTTCCGACGAGAGCCCAACGAACCTCCAAAAGGCCTCGGACCCACGACCAAGGCACGGTGGCGGGATGGGACGAAGGCCACCAGATCCGCCGCCTCCTGTAGTCTTGCCACAGGAGTGCCAGGCGCGCTCGATCCTACCGGTTCTGGTTTTTGTTGGACGCCCGAAGTGGGTACGGAAAGAATGGGCACAATGCCCAACAACAAGTGTTGTCCCAAACCAACAGCGGTCGCTGTTGGGCAGGCGGCCTTCTGTCTCGAATGGACACAGGCCGCGGCGGCGCGGACAGCGAGTCCTGTTCAGCATGAACAGGAACTGCTGTTGGGCATCGTACCCATTGTTTCCGTACCCATTTCGGGCGTCCAGAGTTTTGGTGATCCTTTCAGAAAAGAACGCTACCCGGGGGCTCCGGCCCAGCGCGCCGGCCACCCGGAAAGGCGCGCAATCGCGCACAACGTCCCCAAAAAAATCGTCCAAGACAGCCCCAGATGGCCTCCAAGACAATCTAGATGGCCCAAGATGGCCTCCAAGATGCCTCCACGGCGGCCAAGATGGCCTCCAAGACGGCTAAGATGGCCCCAAGATGCTTCCAAGACGGGCTTGGTAGAAGGCCCTGGGGGGTACCACGCTGGCGGGATACCAGCCGCTGGCTTGGTAGGGAGGGCCCCCGGGGGGTACCACTCCTGCGGGGTGCCAAGCTGGCGGCCGCTGGCACCAAGCCGGCGGGATACCAAGCCGGCGGCCCGCTGGCTTGGTAGGGGGGAGCCCCTGAGGGGGTACCGAGCCGGCGGTGTACCAAGGCGGCGGCCGCTGGCTTGGTAGGGGGAGCCCCTTGGAGGGTACCAAGCCGGCGGGGTACCAAGCAGACGGCCGCTGGCTTGATACGGGGGAGCCCCTAGAGGGGCGAGTACCAAGCCGGCGGGGTACCAAACCGGCGGCCGCTGGCTTGGTATCTGGCTGGGTAGTGTCGACGCCAGAGAGGATACTAAGCCGGCGGCGGGAGTACAGTATAATCAGCGGCTCCATCAGCGTCATCATCAGTATCATCATCATCATCATCATCATCATCATCATCATCAGCAGCAGCAGCAGCAGCAGCATCATCATCAGCAGCATCAGCATCAGCATCAGCATCAGCATCAGCATCAGCATCAGCATCAGCATCATTATCATCATCAGCATCAGCATCAGCATCAGTATCATCATCAGTATCATCATCAGCATCGTCATCATCATCATCATCATCATCATCATCATCATCATCATCATCGTCATCATCGTCATCATCATCATCATCATCATCATCATCATCATCATCAGCGGCGGCGGCGGCGGCAGCAGCATCGCCATGATCATCAGCATCAGCATCATCATAATGTTTATCCTCATCATCAGCAGCATAATTAGCATTGTCATCATCATCGTCATCATCATCGTAATCATAATCAGCATCATCACCATCATCATCATCAGCAACACCTTCAGAATCGTCATCATCAGCATCAGCATCAGCATCGTCATCAGCAGCATTATCGTCTCGTCAGTATCATCATCATCAGCAGCAGCAGCATCATCGTCATCGTCGTCGTCATCATCATCCTTGTCGTTGTCATCGTCACTATTATCAACACCAAGATCATCATGATCGGCAGCAATAGCATCGGAATCTTTATCGTAATCAGCATCACCAGCAGCACCATCCTCAGCAGTATCATCGGCATCACCATCACCATCACCATCACCAGCAGCAGCATCATCAACAACGACATCAGCATCATCCTCATCCTCCCTCCTCCTCCTCCTCCTCCTCCTGATCCTCCTCCTCCGCCTCCTCCTCCTCCTCCTCCGCCTCCCCCTCCTCCTCCTCCTCCTCCCCCTCCTCCTCCTCCTCCTCCTCCTCCTCCTCCTCATCATCATCATCGTCATCATCATCATCGTCATCATCCTCATCAGCAGCATCCTCAAAGGGCCACGGACTGCTCCGGCTCGCAGCCACGTGCGCGGCCTCTGCATCCATGGCCTCCCCCCCTGCCACGAGCCGCCAGGCCCGCGAGAGGGAGCGGCAGCGGTCCGCCGCGCGGCTGCGCGGCGGCGCGGCGCTCCGCGGGGAGGGCGCGGCCGCGGGCGGCGGCGGCGGGCTGGCAGGAGGAGGAGGAGGAGGAGGAGGAGGAGGAGGAGGAGGAGGAGGAGGAGGACCAGGAGGAGGAGGAGGAGGACGGGCAGCAGGAGGCCAGGAGGGCCAGGAGGAGGGGGAGGGCCAGGAGGAGCAGCAGGAGGGCCAGGAGGACGGGCAGCGGCAGCAGCAGACACGGCAGCAGCGGGTCAGGAAATGCAGGGAGGACGAGGGCGGCGACGAGTGGGACGGCGGGAACTACGGGTACGGGTACTGGGGGACCCAGTGGGACATCATCAGCACCACCATCATCAGAATCTTGGATGGTACAGGCATCCTTCGTGGGCTTCAACCCTTTCACCTTGATGCGCACGGGACGTACGGAGAGTTTGGGCCTTGAGTTCGCTCGGGCCTCGTCATACCTATGCGGCTCAACCAGCGGCACCACTATGAGCGTACCCCCGAGTTCCACTGGATACATTGGGGGGGGGGCGAGGATCCAACACGAATGCATCGGCTGGCGTCTCCACCGCTGTATCGGCGAAGCTATATCAGACCCGCCACGTCATCCGTATCACATACCCTCCCCCGCACCTTCAAGGGCCTGCAGGCTGCGTGGGCATCGAACGGGGCCCTCAGAGATTTCGTCTCATTGTGGGATAGTATCCGCCTCCTGTGTCCTCAGCGTGCCGAGCCCCCAGCTGGCGAGCGACGTGCAAGTAGCTCACCACACGGATCAGGCAGCAGGTAGATACCACCCCAGCACGAGTTTTGCCGATTTGAACCTTAAGATGGGAAAGAAAGGCCCTGCGATTGTTAACGACCACACTGCTGGACCCTATCAGGCCGGCCACGATGATGATATGTCCACGTTTGTTCGTAAGCAATTTGACGAGGGCCACTTGACCTTCCTGAATACACATCATGATCTTAGACCTAGTCACTATGG